TCATGTGCATAAGATCAATAGCGCTGCATTGTAGAAAATAACGGCTTCAGCAAAACAAAAAAAAAAAAAAATGAATGTGCAGCTACAGTTCTTCGTCTGAGGAAAAACACCAAACGTTTCAGTGCTTCAAGAAAGCAAGACTAAATGTGAAACATGAAATTACTGTTGTATTTGAAATGTACGGTAACTGTTACTGAATGAAAGTATTAGGTACTGTTGCTCCAAACAGATAATAGCAGAAATCTTAGAATTGGGGTTGAAATGAAGAAAATTAGAAGACTATTGATCCAGACCCGGACCATATCAGCTCAGCAGATGATGCATACGCAGAAGCCATAAATAGTATTTGTAAAGTATTACAGACAATACTAATGAGTTATTAGACATAAAAGAAGGATTCTCTACTGATGCCATGAATTACTCAGTTCGCAATGGTACCAAATGGTGCAAGTCCTCTGCTAAAGTGAATGGAAGAGCTTTTAGAAGGACAGCTTTCAATCGAAGAATACGACAGAGAAAAGTTTTAGAGAAATGCTGTCAATGACTAAAAAATCCCGATGTTGTTTTTACAGTTGGAACTGCACAATCCAAAAGTGTTTTTGATCGCATGCAATTTTTATGGGCGGAGAAGATAAGGGAAGGAGAGCGGCGAAAGTGAAAAACAAAAATTAAAACTTACTATTTAAGCGACATTGAAAATGTAAAGAACATGGAAAAGTCAGGCATGAAAGCCAGAGCTCCGAGCGGTAACTAAACAATAAGTAGCGGCTAGTCGCGAAGAACAGGTGCGATCGTGGTTTTTGTTATGTGAGTTATAAACTTAATTTGGATTCGAAGGCGCGGCAGAGACTTTGAGCTGGCTTGTTTTCTTTTTTTTTTACTCTAAATTATCTCTCCATCAATTTACAAGGATCCTCAGCTGGTGGCTTTATTGGTTTTCTAGTTTTTTAAGAAAACTCAGTGATGAACTCAGTGACAGTCAGGATAAAACTGAGCTTGAAAGATGATTTCAGGGTATATATTTCAAATTACTTAACGAATTAATCTATCAAATTTATTATTCTGTAGATATCCTGATCATCGAGTCCTGATTACCAGTTTAAACTCCCTTCACAAAAGAATCGAAGTTTTCAGACTGTAATTTCCTTGATTCCTGATTTATAAAATTATTCTCTTTGAATTTGAGGTTACAGGTCAGAATACAAAAAAAAAGATGTGAGTTGAATGCAGAAATGTGAGTTCACGCAAGAATACAGAATGACGATAAGACGGCAGATACAGAATCTACGCATCTGCTTTAATTCACTGTTTTTTTATCTCATATATGCTTAGTTATGTATTTTTCTGATCTTACAGTCACAAATGTAGTAAACGCATAAAAACTGATAATTGGAAAAATCGTGAGCATTAATGGTGGAAAGAAGAGAAACCTTGAGATGCTTCCTAAGTGAGGAGGGATGCGTGTATGACTTGTGACATCCATTGATTTTACACTCGTACGGCTTATCGTTGGTGTGCACATGCATGTGCTTCTTCCGATCACTGCTATTCGCGAATTTACGGTCACAACCCGGATGAGTACAGGTGAATGGTTTATCACCTGAAATCATAGTTTCTGTAAATTGGTACCAATATATGTGGTCAGATAATTTGATTTGTTTTATCTTACTGACATCAGTTTTTGCATTAATCTGCAGCTGGTCGGCAGGCCTTTTCGAGCTACAGTATTCTATCAAAATCACAAAACAGATAACTTTCGCGAAAATGTCATTATTGGGGTTCTGCATCAAAATTTCTTTTCATAGCAGAGCCACCAACAACCAGTGTTTTGAAAATTGGCTAAATGTTCTGAAAAGATGTGCTCCAGACCCTCCTCTTCTGATCCTCCTTTTCTGCTTTCCCCATCTTTTTATGCTCTACACGGAATAGTCTGGAAGATAGTGATTTGTAACATTCAAGTTTGACCGGACAAAATGCGGCTAAGTGTCTTCTCAGCCTAATTGAGGTTTAGAATCCGTTGTGTTTTGCGCAAAATGAACTGTGCGAAACTGAAGAGAGTTAAATAATAAACAAAAAAAATTGCTTTTCATAAGCTGTGAGCATTGAACGACTGCGATGAATAAATGGACCTCACTGA